ACCATGAGGTGCCTATACACCCCAGAGGATGCATGCATGCAATAAACAAACAATACAAGCTTACGGGGCTGGCATTCCCTCTACCCGCTTTCCTTATCTATGCTATAAGGGAGATATGAATAAAACTATTATATTATATTATACTATATAATAATATAATAAAAATAATATAAATCCTCTTTATTGCATGCAATAAAAGAGGGAAAAAGAATAAAAAAGTAATTATGTCTATGCAGCTAACTTCTTATAATAGTACAGATGTATAATTGTATATATATTTACATATGCATGCTAGTAGGTACTGTCCTTCTTTGTATCATATAATAAAAAGACTAATTAAATGCTTTATTAAATTAAAATAAATAAAAATAAATAAATATAAATAAAAATAAAATAAAATAGTACCTTATTTATTCAGTAAGAAGGAAAAAAAGGAAAAAATAGCGCTGACGTCGTAGGCACCATGGGGATCGCTATCAAACTTTTGCATGCAAATGGAGGGGAAAAGGAGGAAAATAATGTATTTTTTTAATTAATTTTAATTATATTTATTTAATTTAGTAAAAAGGAAAAGAAAATAAAGAAAAGGATACATGACAACAGCAGCAAAGTTGGGTATTCACTCCTTGTACAACAATTGGGTCCTGCGCTTGCTGCTGCTGCTGCTGCTGCAGGCCGGTGATTGCGTCGCTGCATATTGTGGTGTCTAGACACCTTAATTAATATGCTTTTTATATTTATTTTCTTTTTATGAATTATATATTCATTCTTTTATCAATTCGATCAACAGGACCACCTCTAACCGTTAGAACAGACCCTTATATACGACGGGGGCCCCCCATGTATACGGGCCCCTTTTCCCTTATTAGGGGCCCCCTTTTCTTCTCTCTTGCTGCAGTTTATACAAGATGATGTTATCAGAGGTTGAGTCGTGGGTTATGGATGATTCGGACAATCCGGATCTTGATTTGGGGCCCCCGACAGATAGGGGCCCCCCTCATGGGGGCCCTTGGGGGGGGCCCCCATCTGTAGGAAACTTGGGGGCCCCCAATAGGGGCCCCTCTGCCTCTGCTGTTGATCTTGATGATTTCCTTGGGGATTGTGACCAATCTCATGCGTCTGTCTGGTCAACAGAAGCAGACCTAGATATGACTCCTATGGTGCCTTCTCTTCGTGATCCAGCGGCAGCAGCAGCAGCAGCAGCAGCAGCAACTGGAGCAGCAGGATCGGATAGAAGAGCAGCAGAAGCAGAACCAGATTCTCCAGTGTCTGCAACAACAACAGCAGCAAGTAGAGACAAATCTAGTTGGCCTTTGCTGCAGAGTGAGGGTGTATCAGGGGGCCCCTCTATGCGATCTAGTGGAGGAGGCCATATAGGGGGCCCCCCTGTTGGAGGGTTCAGTAGAGGGGCCCCCAGAGGGGCTCACGGGGGCCCCCGAGGGTTCAGCAGCTGCTGCTATAATAAATTATCTATGGGGGGACTAAGCTGCCGCATGCGTTGGGTAGAGAGTTCATTTTGGGGCTTTTTTTCTTGTGGTACATTTCGTAATGCATGCAGAGAATTATATTCTTCTCCTTTTTTATCTTATTTATTTTTCTTTGTTTTATTTATTAATGCATGCGTACTTATTCGTTGGTTAATACAGTCTCCTGTTGATCCTCTTCTTGTTGCTGCTGAATTGTTTGTCTCCTTTATGCTCATCTTTGAGGTCTCCCTTCGCTCCTTTGTTCTTGTAAGTATTACCCTATTATATATTTACTATACCCTATGCATGCAAGGGGGGCTCCTGGGGGCCCCAAGGGGGGGCCCCAAGGGGGGCCCCCATATTATGATCCCACTGATAGTACCCTAGGAAGAAGGGGGCCCCCTCCCTCGTTGTATATTTGCTGCATGCAAGTTAGTCCCTTTGTAGGTGTTTCTCTGTAGGGAAGGAGACACATAAAAGGAATCCCTCTTGTTATATATACTCTGCTGCTGCTGCTGCTTGTGCTGCTGCTGCTGCTGCTTGTGCTGCTGCTGCTGCTCAGGGACCTGCCTGCTTCTCTTCTAGTGCCCATCTCTTTGATTGTGCCATTACGACTCTCTCTGTAGTTTTATTCCTTAACAGTGGAGACCTCTTTATCTTATTCCGAGGGGCCCCTCGTCGTGGGGCCCCCTCAGGGGGCCCCAGGGGGGCCCCCACCTCCTCGGGGGGCCCCGATGATTTCTTAAGGGAGTTACTTACTGCCCTGCGGATCGCAACACAAGTCGTACGGCTTGTACCTCTGGCTATGCACCAAAAACGTGCTAAGGTAAATAATTATAGATTAACAAGACCTAGGGGGGCCCCCAGGGCCCAGGGGCCCCTAGGGGGACCCGATTGAGGGGCCCTTAGGGGCCCCACAGTTTGAAACCCTGGTAGGATCTATGGGGCTCCTTGAGGGGCCCCACACTGTAAAACGCAACGCTAGTTACGGGGGTGCATAGTTATATATATATATATATATATATATATATATA